ACCTGTGGGTGCAGAGAGCGCGGCAGAACCCCGCGATGGCCGCGCCGGGTGCTGTTAAACGCCCCTAATCGCAGTTCTTTCAGGTCTTGACGGCCCGCAGACTCCAGAGGTGGTAGAAGCTTCGCCGCCAACAGGCGCTCCGGGAATGTCTGAAATTCCAAGTTTTGGGAGGAAGGAGAGCAGTCCCATCTCCTAAGTAGCGATAGCTCGGGAGGCAGCAGCCCATTTCTCTACACGCCCTGCTTTGCGGGACAGCAAGGCGTGGAGGGCCCGGCCCCTCCTGCCTTGGAGGATTAAGCCACGTAGAACAGGCAGTTTTCTGGAAGTTTTTACAAAACCGGGGACGGGGGGAAAATAAAAAAGTTTTAGAGAGGTGTAAAGGTGCGTTATCAGCCCGGTGTCACGCTGAGAGCCAGCGCCCTGCCGGGCGGTGGGGAGCAGCTCGCGGCCGCCGGGGGCCCGCAGGAATCCGTGCCATAGGATTGGAAACAAATAGGTTTCCAAAACCCATTCGGTTTCTTGAATGTGCCGATTTTCGTATAGATACATTTTGTCTGGGCACGAGCAACATACTTTAAGAAGTGTGTACTTCTGTTAGTCATGGAACTGATTGTAGTCAATTCATTAAATTTGGTATTAGACTCGCTATCTATATAGTATTTTGCTTTTCTATTAGAATGCATAAATTATTCCAATATTATGCGGTATTTTAAGAATTTTTATTTATAGTAGTACAGTTTTAAATGCGTTTAAAATGAAAATCAGACAAGCAGAACTGTATTTATTTAAGTGTTTGAGATGTGAAACCAAAAGGCTTGTTTTGAAAACAGAAGTAATTGTTTTCTTTTCAAACATAATTTTATTTCAATTAGATTCTGCAAACTGTTCTTCAAATTCCAAAGTAGTATTTAATCCTTTAGCATTATGTACTTTAAAGGCAGGAGAGAGTCAAAGTGTACATTAAGGTTTCTGAATACTCCTGACCTCTCAGGTAAGTGGCACCTTAAGCATATCAATTACTTAAACGTATTTAACTAACTATGGCTGGGCCAGGGAACAGGACAAGTATCATCTTCCTGCAATTCAATGAATATTATCCCTGCCTGCCCTTTGCCCTTACCCTGATAAAAAGTTCTGGAGAAAATGCTATATTTATTTGTGGAAAGAGAGAAGACAGCAGATGCCCCAGCACTCTTATTTGCTAGAGGTAAAGGTATTTTGTTGGGTTTTATTTGTTGTTGTTGTTGTTTTAGTTTGTTTGACTGGGTTTTTGTTTGTTTTAAAAAGCTGTAGGTAAATTGCTGCAGAAGTTCCCGAATGCCAAGCTTTGCAAATGTTTGTTTCCAGGATTATTTCTTCGTTTGATTGACCCATAGCAGTAGTTGTGATTTTAATATGTTAGGTCTGCCTAGCGATTTGGAGTCCAGTCCTGTGCTTCTTCTGATTCCACAGCTCCCACAGGTCGTGGCAAAAGCACCAGGCTCTTAGATTTGAGCAGGGAGAAATACTGGTGTTTCCTCATTCATCGTGCACCCAGAAGAAAATTCTCCTGTGACTGTACACTTGTGACAGTGACTTTTATATTCTAACAGGGATCTGTTGATTCTGATTTCACTTGTATGTCTTAAAGTGATGAGGACACTTAGTTGTCTCAACATTCATAAATTTGAGTTGGATTGGAACTGTCTTGCTGAGCCAGTTTGTGGTTTCTAAGGAGTCTCTTGTCTCTAGTGTAGGCGTGTACTGAGGAAACTGTTCAGACCAGACACTGCATTTGTGAGTAGGGCTGGGGTGGTCAGGCTGTGTGTAATGTTTCTTGTTTATACAGTGACAGGGCAAAGGAGCATTTTGGCAGAACAAAAATTTTAGCCTTCAGGGACTAATGAAGATATTTTGACTAAGAATTTGTGCTAGGTAGGGTTTTTTAATTTACTGGGGTTTTTTTGTTTTGTTTTTTTTTTTTTTTTTCAAAGAATAAGCTCACATTTGGAACCCCAAAATCACATGGCATTTCGGAAAATCTTTCTTGAAATCTTTCAGAAGATTATTGAAAATGATAATGCAAGATTTTTTTTTTTCAAAAAATCTTTCTGAACTAACAAGTGCTTTGTAGATCATGCAGGGACTAAAAGTTCCCTAATAAACTAGTTTTGCATAAGCCAAGTTTTCTTTTATTTCTTTAATTAAAAAAAATAAAAGAAATTGAAAAACTACCAGACTTTTTGGAAACAGTGTATTACTCATGTTGTCCCAAATTCTGGTGAGGTCACCAGAAGTTCTCAAAAAGAAGGAAGTATAGAATCACACCAGAGACTTAACTGAATAAGCTGAACCTTTTTATATATATCCACAGTACCTACAAAGGGAAGACTTGAAGAAACCATTCCATTTTAGGGTACCTTTTAACATAAAAGTACTAACAAATGTAAATCCTGTATTCTTTCTGTAAATAGGAAAACACTTATCCATGGTTGCAAAAGAGACCAGGTTGGCATTCTTGAGCTGGGCTATCTCATCATGGTAATTTCTCCTTTTGTAACTCCTCAGCAACTGAGTTGTATCAACAAGTTTCCTTCCCATAATTTACAGGTTTCAAAGTATTAGTTGGACTATTTCAAGTGCTTATCTGCATGTGTATTTTACATACATCTCCTACAAAATTATTGTGAATAAAAAAGTGAACAAGAACTCAGGAAGAGTCACACCTTAAATATTACATCATCTAATGAGCATAGTAGAAATATATTTGCTGTCTGTAAAAGTTTAAGTAATCACTTTCCATCACTATATACATTTAAAAAAATTAAATGTAGTCATTGTAGGTGGTTGAAATTAGTTTGGTTTAATTTAAGAAGAACATGAGCAAAGAGCATGTTACATAAAACTTAGGAAAGAAAAGCAGAAGGAGCATTACTGCTATATGATAAACTCATGAGCCTTCTGCAGTGGTATACCAATTTATACTGGCTTGGGATTCCCACAGGCTTTCTTGCACTTCTTCTGAAGCCCCTTTGCTCTGTGCTGTCCTCAATTTCCTCTTGCTAATCTGGGTTTTAGTCCCTTGACTCCAAGCCTATTGTTATATTCTGGATAAATTAGAAGACTTGACAGTTTTCTTCAGTGTTTTCTGACACATAAAAATCGGGGATGAGGATGCTGAGATGCTGTGTCTTGTAGCACAGGTGCTGTAAAGAGGTCCACTTCAAATATTTCCTCATGACTTAGCTTCCAGAAGTATTGGATGGCACTAGAGCTGAGTGACCTCCTTGGGAAATGTGAAGTTACTCTGCTACCTGAAATAATTTTTCTAAATATCTCTGCTCTTCTTAAGCCATTCGTCCAGGAGGAGGTTGACAGGAAGTGCTGTACAGTGTGAATATGGTCATGTGGCAAGAATGTGGCTTTCTGCTTTAATTTTGGCATTTTTTTAGATGAACAGAGAAAGGAAATTGAAAACTGCAGCAAAACAAACAGTGAAATAATTCCATTGTAAAACCTGCTGAGAAATTTATCTTAGGGGATTTTTGCCTAAAGCATCGGAATACAAGAGAGTAGAATGAAGGACAGCAAGCATAACAAAAAAGAAAACAGAAGAACTATATAGTAAATATAAATTGGACTTACAGTAAGCATCTATAGATGTACTTTATACATATCCAGATACATTTGTGCTATCAATGTGTCTTTTCTTTCTGTAACATTTGGGTACTTTGCATTTTGATGCAGTTATCATCACATTGAGCCAGTGAGAGAGATTTCTGTTGTGTAGAGGAGAAGCTGGAGCAAAACCAAATGAGGTGACTTACCTGACATAATACAGATAACTGGTAGCATTGCAAGGAAATTAAACCAACTCTTCTGCAGGCTAAGTCTCTGGAAAATGATGTCGATTTTTGTCTTCTCAGGTGATGCCACCAATTCTATCTTGAATCAAACATATCTTATTTCCCATATTTAATAAAGTGTCTTGTGTTTCTTTATGACAACCAGGAGACAATTAAATTACTGAAATTTAAGTGATATTTTTTTCTTTAATTTTGGGCCTCTTCTTAGTGAATTAATGCTTATTAATTATTGATTCCAAGCCAACTGGCAGCCGGGGTGTGTCCTCAAGCGACATGTAACACTAGCTTTCAGTAAAATAAAAGACAGGAAAAAGCCCAATGTTTTGTCCTGACTCATCTAACTCGGACAACAAGTTGACTGACAAGTCTTAGGATTTTCTTGTTTAGTTGGTGTTTTCTGGAGATAGAAAGCGTCTTTAAGGTGGGGAGATCTATTTGGCATCCTTTCTTATTCCCTGATTGCCAGGAGCACTGAGACACTGTAACTGTTTTGAAAGTTTGTCTTTGGAAGCAAAGAAGTTTTTGTAAGTATTAGAAATCACAGACTAGCACGTTTCCTGTTTCCAGTTAACTTTGTGAGCCATTTAATAGAATTGGTCTGGAATGCCCAGCATATTTTAAGAGTGGCTGCAAAATGGCTTTTAAAGGACAAACTGTTGTCCTCATTGTGAGGTTGCCAGAGCTAGACTGGTGCCAGCTACTCTGCAACCCAGCCGCTAGTGTGGCAGTCTGTGCTGGGTGAGGAGTGCGGGCATTGGCTGGACACTGCTCCTTCCTTTGGCTGCTCTCGCCGTGCCGGCTCTCAGAAGGAAGAGGATCCCGAGTATGGTCCTTGGCAAGACTTAGATACCACCTGAAGATCTCAGAGCTGCACTAGGAAGACAAGTGGTGGAGTTTGTACAAAAGAAATTGACTGAGTTGAAACCATGGAATCAGTCATGCCTACAGTAACTGAATTAACTTCTGTGAAATATATTTTGTACACCAGAAAGAGCTGGTCTTCTGAAATTCTGTAGTATATTGCTCATGTTTTAGAAAACACATGACTGTGGTAAGCATTAATCTCATCAGGCAAACTTAAGTGCAGATTTCAGGTTTTATTGTACTGTGTCTTTATTATTTTCTGTTAAGAAATCCTCCTAAATTTTGGAAGGCGAGTTCTCTGCTTCCTTTGCCCTCTGAAGGTGTTCTGCATTCTTTTGTAAAGCAGCTCTGCAAAATAATTGATGTTTTACATGGTAGTTTTGTGGTCAGTCATGACCCCACAGCAGAAAGGGGAGTTAGGTTTTTTTTTTCCAATTGAAAACAACTGCAGGTATATAAAGCAGTAAGAGGCCATTTCAAATGTCTGTTATGTAGACTGATATTTATAAAATTATACATCCAAATATTTTCAGTAACCTGGACTGTGTTTCTTGAGGTGAGTTGTCACTTTGGAGAAGTGGCCTTTGCTTTTTACTGAAAAGCTTACAAAGTTTTTTCATGAGAGGCTGCTTTTGTCTGCAGTTGTAGCACATAATTCTCCTGAGGTATTCTGAATGTGTGTTGAGAATGTTACCTCCTTGTGACTACGTGAATACCTCAAGTTTCAACTTGAAAAGGTATTTCCTTGTACAAATGTAAAAATACTAAACCCCTTATGTTAAAAAAAAAGAAGAAAGAACTTGCCATGTGTTATTTTTTATTCTAACACTGTTTATATTATCTTGGGACTTTTGTCTGTTTGGAGCTAGCAATACTGCAACAAGTAAAGACTGCTCCAGGTAAAAAAAGTTGGCTAATCAGTGCATACCACAGGAGTAAATGGTGCATTTTGGCCTCTTGTACAATTTTGAATTAGTGCTGCAACAATGAAAAACCAGTGAAATATTGACTTGCAGCAGCTGACCTTAATTTTGCCATGCTTTTTGAGGAAATAATTTCTAAACAAATTGTAATATGTTGAAAATCAAAGAAAATAACTGATGACTTTCTAGCTGAATTTTTACATTTTGAGAGTCTTTATGGCTGTACAGATGATAGTATTCTTTTGATGTTAGCTATGAGGGACAAGAAGAATGTCATGGCAATTCAGCTGTTTAATAAAAAGTAGGTGTCTTGTCTAAGCTGTAGTCAATAGAGAGAGATGCCTCCAGAGACACCTTCT